GAAGTACGTGCAAGCCAGGGGTCCCAGGGCTCTCTATTCAGAGGATGCTCTGCGAGGATGGTTGAAGTTCAAGTAGGTACAAGCCAGGGTGTCCCAGGGTATTCCGCACAGGGGGCACCATGCAGGGTAGCTGGGCCCGAGTCGGGGTACACATCTCAGGGCATCCCAAAGTGGCCTGGCAGAGCTGCTATCAAGCCAACATGGTAGGAGCCTGGAACATTCCGGTGTGCTTTGCACCCATGTTCTCTTTGTGGGATCGCTAAAGCTGTAGTGAGCATTGACCAGGGGGTCACAGTGTGCATGGTGCTGGGGCCACCTTGGTGGGAGGGCAGAGGAGTATGGGCTAGGGGCCCAGGGCTCCCTGAGGCAGCAGGCCAGCTAGGGCACCCACAACCTACTCCCATCGAGGTGGAGGGGTACATCGAGGTACCCCTGAGGTACCCCGAGGAGGGGTACATCAACCGTAGCATCCACCAGTCCCTCTGACCAGGAGAGAGTTCCAGCAGCTCCCTCCTCTGCCTTTTGGCAGGTTTGAAGACTGGTCCCTTACATTTTAGTTGCCCTTGCAACCCTCAACATTTTTTCTGTGCCCATAGACAGACGGATCTGCTCACAGTCCCTCAGTACTGTCCCCCTCTGCCACAGTTGGTAGCATTAGGGATGGGGCTCCCCCCATCCCTGTGTCTTCCTCTCTCTTGCCATTCTTTATGTGGTCTCTCCCTGTGTTGTCGTGCTGAAGCTGTACAGTCAGCCCTCCGTTCTTCAAGAGGATTTGCTCTAACAGTAGGTGTAGATAGGGTGTCTCCTGGAGGAGGGGAATTAGGGCCTTCCAGTGTCGCCACATTGCCCCAGAACCAACCTTACTCTCCGGTCCTTTACAGAGAAAGTGTGCCAAACCCAGATGCAGATGAACGGTAGTTGAGAGGACAGCTTGAATGTCACCAAGTTCCAGCTCTGCCACTTATGGGCATTGTTGGCTTAGACAAGTCTCTTCAACTTTTCAGTTTCTTCTTAAGTAGAAAAGAATTCTACTTAAGTAGAATACTGTGTATGTCCCTAGCATGGGATCTGGCACAGAGAAGAACACAAACCCAAAGTACCCCTTCTAAAGATGTACGTATGCAACATTATCCACATAGGATCTGCAGTGGGTACCAGTTCAAGGTTTCTATACTTCTAAAAGCTTCTAAAAGCTCCCTCAGAAAGGTGATTACTTCAAGAAGCGAATATTCAGTTCGGCTTCATGGCTTTCTGTGAAGATACAAACACCTCAAGGAGGGAGTTTTTCTCATCTTTTCATCCCACATGCATCTGGTACAATGCTGGCTCCCAGAACGGAAAGGGTTGCATCTTTCGTGAACTCAATTTCCCTTCTCAAACATGTCTAGGATTCTAAAGGTTGCTGGATGGAAATAGAAACGTTTGGGGATGCTATAGGGTATTACAAACAGTACTCTCCATCGTTTGTTAGCAATGTGCTCCCGTCCCCTATCCAAGGACATTTTCCTTTGTGCTTTGCTCTTCCTTCAAAAACAACTACTTCCCTAGCCTAAACAGTCTTTTCATTTTTATGCTTTTTTATTGACCACTGGTCCGCCGCTAAGTTATCAATGCCAGAGACTGTGTCCCTCACTGTTCCTGAGGAAACTATAGAAGGAACTTTGCGGGTGTCCAACTTGGTTTCCAACAGCAACACGCCAGTCTTTAAACACAAGACTGTAGAAGATGGGCACAACAACCTGTAGAAGATGGGCACGAAACATCTGGCTTACCTGTAACCACACGTTTGCCTTATGCCTCTAGACTGTTCATTTATCTCAGAGTCCCATGAGAACCAACAAATAGGAAATGACGCCCCACACCGTACGTGGCCCCCGCTCTAGGGCAGCAGGTTTTCATGATGGGCTTGCATATAAGACAACAGGGGCTAAATACAGCACCGCCTGCCCCACAGAGCAAAGCCACGGAGACTCAAACTACTCAATACAGCACCCACAGCACACCGCCTCTGGGCTTGACTTCTCTCTAGCACAAGACTTATTCTCTGTGATAGATGTTTAGGGTTTTTTATTTTTTGTTTTTTGTTTTTTCCTTTTTGCCACATCCTTCTAATCTCTTTCCCTCTCTCCTTCATCCAGTAAATTTCCCAGATTCCCCATCACCATGAGCATTTTCCTTTCGCCAGATGTGCACGCACGGCAAAGGTCTGCAAGTGTGAACATATGTGGGGGATTCTTGGCTTTTCTTTTTTTTTTTACTGTTAATCTCCCCCACCATGCACATAACACACAGAGGCAACTTAGCCATGGAGAAAGAAAAAAAAGCAACTTATTCACTAAGCAAACACAGCTGTCATTTCATACAAAGCCCTTGTAAGATGAGCTACAACTAAAAAAATTCTAAGCCGACTCTGCAGCATGTTTTTATAACAAACATGTTTATAGTATTATGAATTTCACACTTCCACATTTCTGCACTTAGAAGGTCTTAATCATAATGAATGCCATTTCTGTATTTCTCTTCCGGAAGAGAAATTACCGTTTCCACATGGACGTGAATTGCAGAATTGTTCCTAGAGGCTGTGGAATTCTGTGCCTGCTAGGATGGCTAGAATGATTTCTTTGTAGTTTGTGTTTATTCAAATCATGTAATTTATGCTTAAAAACTGAACACACTGCAAGTGCTCTTCGCTGAACTTGGTTGGGTCTAACTCTGATGTTCTTTAGGGTTTAAGTAAAAAGAGCCCTTTTTCCCTCAAACTGAGTAAATACTAAAATCAAAGGGAACTTCCTTCACAAACCAGGAAGATGGGGCTCCTTTATGAAAATAAGAAGCTGCTCCAACCCCAATAACCTATTAGTCCTGGTTTTAAATATTATTACTGCTGTGAAATTAGTGAATTAATAGCACATCGAGAAAGATGAGACACTATCATGGTATTTGTATGGTATTTTCACTATGACGCTGCCTTCTTAATTGCCAACAAGGATTTCAATTCTGGTCACTGAAGTCGAAAATTGAAACATTACCTTTGTTAACTGTGTCTTTATGGCTCTTTCCTCCTTCCTATTGGCAGAGTTAGATAGAAGCTTATGGGGGTAATCCCCAACTTACAGTAAGGATGGCTTGATATCTTCAAGTTGGCTGTCAAAAAATCATGATTCCTTTTGTTAGAAGTGATAGTCAAGCCCTCAGTTGAGTTTTCAAATATTTCTTTATCCTAAACAATAGATAACAAGAATATTGATAGAAAAAAAATGGAAGCCGTGAATCCTGAGAGTGTCTTGTCAGACAGAAGGAAGTAGAGGAGGAGAAGGTTATATATAACATGACCGCCATCTTTCTTTGGACGGAACTCACCGGAGAAAAATGCCAGTGTACATCTATAGAGCCTCAAAGACTAAAACATAGATGCTCAGTACTTGATAGAAGCAGTGTTTGTTTCAATGTCGCTAATTAACATTAATTTCAGGATGACATCTGTACATTCATCAGAACCTGTTAAATACGTTTTTAAAACAACTCTATTGACCTATAACTCACATAACCATGTAATTCACCCATTTAAAGCACACAGTTCAGTGCCTTTTGGTAAATTTTTAAATTATGGTAAAATACGTAACAAAGTTTGTCATTGTAACTGTTTTAAAACAATGCAGTTCAGTGACATTAATGCAACCATCCCTCTTCCCGAGACTTTTGATCACCCCAAACAGAAATTCTCTAACCATTAAGCAGTAGCTCCTCATTTCCCCTGCCCCCACCTCTCAGTAACCTCTAATGTGGTTTGTCTCTTTTGATTGGCCTATCCTAGGTGCCTCGTCTCAGTGCAGTCCTACATTTGTTCTTTTGTCTGGCCCCTTTTACTTAGCATCACGTTTTCAAGGTTCATGGATGTTGTGCCAACTTTTCTGTGGCTCACTACTATTCTGTTGTGTGTCTCCAACCTCTTGTTTATCCGTTCCTCTGTTCTTTGTTGATGACCGCTTGGGTGGTTTCCACCTATTAGCTGTTGCGAATACTACAGCAGTGAAACTCATTGTCCAGTTAACTTTTGGAGTCCCTGCTTTCACTTCCTTTGGATATATACCTAGGAATACAGTGACTAGGTCATACGGTAATACCGTGTTGAGATTTTAGGGGGAGCTATCCACCTGTTTTCCACAGCAGCTACACCATTGTACATTCCCACCCACAATGCGTGAGGGTTTCAATTTTTCTGCATCCTTGCCCACACTAATTTTCTACCTTTTTCTGAGCTAGCCCCTCTGGTAGATAGACAGTGGTATCTCATGGTGGTTTAGATTTGCATTTCCCAGTGACACGGGATGCTGAGCCTCTCTGGATGTGCTTATGGGCCAATTGTAGATCTTTGGAGACATGTGTCTTCAAGCCCTTTGCCTATTTTTTAATCAGATCCCCTTGCTGTTGCTGAGTTGGAGTTGTTCTAGTTTCTGAATACTAACCTCGTAGGAGGTACGGGATTAGCCAGCATTCTACACATTCTGTAAGTTGTCTCTTCACTGTCGATAGTGATGCACAACTTTGACACACACAAGTTTTCTTGTTTTGATGAGGTCCAGTTTATGGGCCTGTGATTTTAGTGTAAGACTTAATTGCAAAATTATTAACTAAGTTTTTAACATATCCTCAATAGATCACAGTCAGTAGGTCAATAGATCACAGTCCTATTTCAAGGCATCTAGGACAGTGTTTGGCCTGGAAGAGAGCCTGAATAAAGCTAAGAAAATCTAAAACCAGTCTTTCTCATCACCACACATAGTACATTGAAGGCTGCGTCAATGTGGTGTGCTCAGCAACACTGGCATCTAGAAGCTAGACAGAGGGACTGGCAGAGAACAGGCCAGAGAGGAACTGTATGACACAGTGCCGTGTGGCTGTCCTCTCCACACCATCTTTAGTGACCCTGTAAACCCTTATTGAGCAAAGGCATTAACACATCAGCTGACGAACCTTTCCTCTCCTCTCTTGGCCAACAGGACCGCAGAGAGATGCCCAGGCAGCTCGAGAATTCATCCTGAAGATGTTCGTGGACCTGAACCCAGACAGTGATAAAATTATCTACTCCCACTTCACGTGCGCCACAGACACCGAGAACATCCGCTTTGTCTTTGCTGCCGTCAAGGACACCATCCTCCAGTTGAACCTGAAGGAGTACAACCTGGTCTAATTGTGCCTCCTCGACACCGCCCTTCCCTTCCCTGGTGGGCTATTGAAGCTGTACAAGAGGGACTGTATTTCTGTGGAAAACAATTTGCATAATACTAATTTATTGCCGTCCCGGACTCTGTGTGAACGTGTCCACAGAGTTTGTAGTAAATATTATGATTTTATTTAAACTATTCAGAGGAAACACAGGATGCTGAAGTACAGTCCCAGCACATTTCCTCTCTCTCTTTTTTTTAGGCAAAACCTTGTGACTCAATGTATTTTAAATCCTCGTCATGCACTCGCCCAGATAAGGGTTGTTTCTTTCTCTTTTTTTTTTTTTTCTTTTCTATTGAGCAAAACAAAGCTGATTGCCCTTCCGCTAACCCATACCCGCCGCCCCACCCCCACCCCGATTTTTCCCCGGTTACAATGGCCTTTACCTTAGTTCCATTCCTGGTCAAGTTTTTCTCCCAAATGATACAGTCAGGACAGCATCATTTGATTTAAGCCATTGACATCAGCTTAATTTCAATGTTTGTAGTTTCGCTGAAGGATTCTAAATATTAATACTGTGGTTTTCACTGTATGGCCCTGGATACACATACAGAGTTGTTTTATATAAATATATTGTCTTGCCTCACGTTGGGCTAGGATGACGGTTGCCCATCTTACGGTTAAGTGTCATTCCTTTTGGATTTCTACCTTCAGCCATAGCTTGGTCGCTCAGAGAGAGAGATGCACAAGTCAGTAAGGCAAGAACAGAGACACAAAGTTTTTGTTTTTTTAAATGCCATGTGCCATGGTCCTTCCACCCACCCTTTTTTTTTTAACCCTCTCTTTAAATTGCAGATGCCAAAAAATATATGTATGTATATGCCAACAGACACTACATGACCCCAAAGGCTGCTACCCAGAACCTTTTTCTTAGGTTGTTCTTGGTTTCTCCCCCTCTTGGTTCAGGTTTTTCCTCCCTTTTTTCCCCCCTTAGTGTTTGGGCCAGAATTTATTATGGGTGTATGTTGCCAAAGCTGGCTTTTTATAAAAGGAAAATGGTGAAAATGTAAAAGATAAAAGCCAGTATCTTAAAATGGAAGAGAGTAAGACTGAGTCCTAAAGTAATTGGCTGAGAACAACCCCGAAACACCAAACAATCAGTAACTGTAAATTTGATTGGCATGGTCCATTCTTTTCTTTGCCGTGAGATCGTATTGTTCAGTGTCCATTCCATGTTGCGTGTCCAGATCGGCAATGTAACACAGTGTCTTTGTGATAGAACACGAAATCTGCTATCTCGTCACTTAAAGCCAGTGTTACTCTTTGTGTTCTTTAAGGTCAAGAAGGTCAGCCAAGAACATTGGTTGAGTATTCTGATGCCTCTAATTTGCAAAACCTTTACTTCCTGCTGGTTTACCACCTTTGGGATCTTTCTAAACTGGTCACTGGCTAAGTTGAACCTAAGGAAGACTTGTGGACTCAAGAGTAGCTTGTCAGCGTTCTATAGAACATGTATTTATGTAACCGAACCTACTAGGAGAGATATTGGGAGTTCTCTACGTGCAATTTATCAACAAATGCAAAGGAAAAAAAAAACAGCACATGTATTGGTGAGCTTGAGTTGAAATAGGATTTAAGGAAATAAATCAAGATTGTTTTAAACCTGCTGGAGAGTAGGAATTAGGCCACGACACTGGTCTTACTTTAAGTATCATACTATTTGGCCCAAGTCTAAACTTCCCTATCAATCACTCTTTGGGAGACAACAAAGGGAAGAGAGAAAACGCATGGCTTATTAGAGGAGTCCAAGGAGTTCCTAAGTCGTGGTAGAACGTTCTTCTTTACTTTCCCAGCCACAAACAACACAGGTTACCTTTTCACTTTGCTCAGAAAGCACCTGTAATTTAATTAAGAACCAGACTGCCTGTAGGTATAGTGCAATTCTGAATGCTCTAATCATTGTACATACATCTCTTGATATTGCAGTGTCCTTACTGGCTTTGTAATCATTAATTTTTTGGCAGATTGAATGTGCTGTATTGATATGTATCTATGTAATTGTATGTCTTATAGCTAATTCACATTTTGAATAATGTTATTTTATTTACTTTTTTAAGAGAGGAGAATGTAAATTTGTCAGTTTATTTCTGACTAGGGATATTTTTTTTTTCCATTTAGAAAAGAAAAAAAAAAATCTTACTATCGTACAGAGCGGTACTAGCATCGTGCTGTATAAAATCATTTGCACATTCCTGAGTAGAGGTATACTGGTAAGACCCAAAGGTAATTTCATAGCAAAATACATAAAATCAGTCGGAGCTTTTATACAAACATGGAAACCAACTTTGTAGAACTTTTGCCATTTGACCTAGGATTGGAATATGAGCTTTTATACAATTCATATTCTTATTTGGCAAATGCACAGTTTAGTATTACCTCTCTGATGGCCTTTATTAGAAAGGCAGTTTTAGAAGCTATTGTGATCCACTAAGGAAATGTTTTAACAGCTAGAGACCACTGCTTGCCCAAAAGGGCAATCTTAAATTTGGTGCAGCAAAAAAAAAAAAAAAAAAAAAAAAAAAAAAAAAAAAAAAAAAAAAAAAGAAAAAGAAAAAAGGGAAAAAAATGAAAAAACAAAAAACAAAAAAAAACAAAAAAAAAAGAAAAGAAAAAAGAAGTCAACAATAACATTTGAAGGCCTACAGTGTGTATAGAGAAAACCTCATCACAAGATCATAAGTGTTACAGTTTTAGGGAATCAAGATATTCTATTTACTAGAGCTATAGTAGATGTAGTTGATTAAACATGATCTCAAAGCTTGAAGAAGATGAGCAAACAGGGAAAGATTGTTCTATTTGTCTTTATGAAATTGGGATGGAATTGCTATGTAGAACTGAGGTTTGTGGCTTCACTGTTTGCTGTAGGGTGCATGACAAGATCCCTTTCTGTTGAGAAAGGAAGAAATTGATCACCCTAGCTGCAGTGACGCATGGAAACCTAATTGTATCCACACTAGTCAATCGAAGCTAAAGGATTTTCGTTTCTGTTTCTTTGGGGTTTTATTGAAGGGGCTAGGGGCGGGAAGGGATTCTTCTCAGTTTTGTATAAAAACAAAAGTTTACTCATGCTTTCTATTATATTGTGATTGCAAGCGTTAGAAGCGTGTGCCACTGGACTCCTCGCATTGATGCTCCAGGTCATGGAGGCCCGTGGCGAGTTTTTGGTGACTTGGGCATGTCTTATTCAAAAAGAAAAACACAAACACAAAAACCTTTCTTCAGCATACCAAGGCAAGCAGCCATTTCATGACTCACTCAACACATTGCAGTGTACCAGTTTACAGATAATTTTCCCTCTTTCGTGTGACATGGCAGTTCCAAACCCACAGAGAATTCCTTACTTGTAAATTGGAGGTTTGTACTATGCCTTACAGAGCTTAAATTCAGAAGTTTGTGCCTCATATCTGAAACAAAGGGAAATAACACACCTTTTCAAAAGTCAATAAATCCCCTCGAAGTTTTTTTGTTTTGTTTTGTTTTTAAAGACATTTTCATATAAAGAGCTCTGTTGAAAGTCATGAATAGACTGGGGAAAAAAATCTTAGGAACCTGCATATGTTGTTTACTAGCATATGACACCTACAAAAGGTATTGGAAGAACACCTGAAACTTGTATTTTTGTGTGTGTGTGGATTAACTAGCAAGCCTACTATTTAAAAAAAAAAAAAAAAAAGGTAATTTAGCTAAAGGACAATTTACTTTTTGTACTTTAGACTATCTTGACTGTCAAGGTGTATGAACTGTAATTTTTAAATTTATACTGCCACATGATTGTAAATTTTAGTTGTCTTAAGTTAGGCATTGGTAAAAAGCTATTTATGCTGGATTTGGGTCAAATGACTTATTTGCAAAAAATAATAATAATAATGGGAAGAAAGGGCTGTATAATGAGATACTGCAAGACTCAGATAGTGGTTGGAAATAACCTTCAAAATTACCCTCAATTTCCCTTTGTTTTCAGTTTCTCAAAAAAAAAAAAAGAATGAAATGAAATCTAGAAGAATGTTAACCCGTATCAAAATAAAGTGTACCCAAGTATTGTTATGGATATTGCTGCTCTTCTTAAAATTAAATAAGGGTGTAAAACCACTTAATTGGTAATTGACAACATCTCAGTTGATACAAACAAGGTGTGCTTGGTATACATTACTATTTTCTTCCAAAGATCTCTCTTTGGTTAGAAACACACAAAAGTTAAGACTTGTAGTATTCTATGTTTCTCTATCTCCACATATTTCCAGCATATGTAGCGTTAATAGGTCTGTCCTGGTAATGATGTGTTTGGCATTTCATTTTGGTTCCACCGAATTAGGAAAAGAAATGACTTCGTTGTGTATGATTAGTTAAGAGATTTTTGGAGCCAGACACCTGCTGTTTAGTAGACACCTAGCAAGAGTAACCACCCATTCATTGCTGTCTTCCCAACTTGCAGTGACCTTTTTTTAAAAATATATAAATACATCCCAAATATTTCATGGGATACTCTTCTTTTTATTTTTTAAATTCAATTAGCCAACATATAGTACATTGTTCGTTTCAGATGTACTGTTCAGTAATTCATCAGTTGCATATAACACCCAGTGCTCATCACATCGGTAATACTCTTGCCTCTAGAATCATCAGTTCAAAGTAGGCATATACACCTAGCACATAGTAGGTGCTCAAATATTAATTTCCTTCTTACCTCCCTATTGATCATGTATCTTCCATTTCCCCATATGATTCCAACCCAATAGTAAAGGACCTTTCCATGTTACGAAAACATCTATTGGGCTAAATTGGACCTTACTTGGAGAAAGCAGTTCTGACTTTCATATATAATTTGGTAGATAGGAAAAACAAACAAACACAAAAACAGGGAGGAAAATATTCTTTCTAGAATATTTTCAAGCTTAGGAAGAAAGATGGCAAATTGCCGTGTAACGTTCAGGTTACTTGGACCGAAACACGTGTTTTTGGTAGATTTCTTTTCCTCAAAGAACTCTAAATACAACTTCTTGCTGGATTCCTCACGTGTCATCATGTTGGAAACCCTTACTAGACCTATGTATTTAGGGAGTTTTGTCAGAAAACATTTTTAACTTGCAGTATTTAAAAGAATCATATTTACTGTTCTTAAAATGTCATTCAAATGCATGTATTGTCTATTGTTTGGGGATGGGAACTAGTTTTGCAAAAAACACCTAATGTTGTATAATAATGCCCCAATGATCTTGCTGGTTAAAAATACAGTATTTTTGGCCATAATTTTGTACTACAGTATTCTTCATTCTTGAGTTTTGCTTCTCGAAGTTGCCTCAGCCTCTTCTAGAATTTTTTTTTTTTAATTCTAGGGACTATCCGAATAAACATTGCCCAAGCAGATAGGTTTAGGAATCTCTAAGCAAACATGAGAAAAAAATTTTTCCCTTCTGTATATAACCAGATTTTAATCTTCAGTGGAAGTGTTTGTACTGGTGGCATTTTTTCCCAATTTTTTTAAAATGTGACCTAACCAACTGTGTAAATACAAATTTTAGTAGCTACTCACTAACGAACGAGCTACCTGCCTTCAACCTGTGATGATCTTCTAAGAAGGAATGATTAACTGGCTGAAAGAGGCAAGGGCTTGGCTCAGAACTTTTCCTGCTTAAGCAGCCATCGTGAACCGTCATCTCTGCACAGGGAAAAGGAGCTGTAGATGTCCTTTGGGGCTGTGACTTTTAGAAACCAACACCAAAGCTTTTGAGATCAGCTAAAAACTAGCTTTTCTCTCTCTAGCAGCGTTATGAAGTTAGGGTGATGATGGCCAACTGTTCTAGAAAATCAGCTCTTAAATAGGTAGGGACTTAAGAACCGCAACAAAAGCAAAATCTGTTCCTGCTACTTAACTAACCACGTCTTTCTAACTAGCTGCCTGGCCTTTGCTTATGGAATTTTGTGTTTTTCAAAATACTGTTCCTTCCAAATACTTTACCAAGTGTTGTTTTCAGTTAAAAACCTTTGGGTAAGACTCTCCTGTTCCTACATGCTTTAGAGACCATTTCCAGTAGATGGTGTCCCCTCTCTAGACCTTCCTATTAAGGGTTGATGTGACGGGGGACTATCATTTAGTACAAGGCCTGGAGGGATCAGTCCCCGCAACCTTCCCCCTGAGGAAATGGGGTGTCAGCCAGTCCCCAGCACCCTTCACTCTGTGCCTCTGGGACCTGCGTCCATCTGCATCATCATCTTGAAGACCCATAGCCCACAGGAAAAATGAACTCACTATACATTATTTGAGCCAAATATTTTAACTTGACCCTTTGACTCATAGACCCAGCCTGATGAGTCAGATGTTTTCAGTCCTACCTTCTGGAAGCAATAAAAGCAGTTGGTCCAAAAACTTCTCTCTTCCTCCTCATCTTCCCCGCCTCTACCATCCCCCCGCCCCACCCCCACTGCTGCTGCCATTTTACTTGTAGGTTGTGAGAGGCTGACTGCTGCACCTCGAGAAACCAATTAAACTATCGCAGAAAGGTGGGGTGCAAAGTAATGCTACAGAAC